AATAAGCGATGGTAAAATAGATAAGGCCCGTTGATGAACATATTTACCACTGGTTTGTCTACGACTGAAGACTGAACATCATTACAACTTTGAAAATGGGAAAAGTGAAAGTCTTAATTTTCACTTTTGGGACTAAAAGTGGTCAAGTCTCTAAGATAGTATTTTCGCAGTCTGATTAGGAAGTCGCTCGTGAGATTATCAAGGTGCTTTCGCTTAAATTCACAGATGATGCTTAGTTTACAAATGTGTACAGTACACAATAAGACAGTAAGGTAGTCAAAATTACACATACACACACGTGTATTTATGTACCTTGTGAAATCCGTCGAAATTTACTGCCGCCACCGCGCCTCGAATTCGTGATGCGATTGCTTTACTTGCATCTCCAATAAAATCCGGTACAGAGAACAATTTGGTGGCTTCCTCCTTTGGACAAGGCGTGGGTACGGCAAACTGCCAATTGTAGGACAACTGCAATGAGAGCCGAGCGTGATCAGCTGTCTCTACGACAACAACATCCGTGAAAAAGTCTGGGCCAAGCATAAGGCACAGCGTTTGAATCATGTGCGGGCGCTTTGGTCGGCCTCCGCTTAAACTCAACTTAGTGAATTGTTCCTCAGGCCCGAGCATTACCAAAGATGGACCGAATTCCACGCGGGAACGTTTTCCCCTATAGTCGTAAATTTGCATGGCTGCGTTGTGTGGAACTTGGAACGTGATCACCCGCGGTTCAGCAGGTGGTGACGCGCCTAACATAGATCCCGTCCTAGGGAAGACTGGTGCAAGCAGCACACGATCTGGTAATGGATCACGATCCGGGGATAGTAACTGCATCACATCAGGTGGTAGCGGTTTCGACCACAGCTCTTCCTCATGATTGAGCATATATGCTTCACCAATCACAGTACGTACATGACCTGTTCGCATGTTACGCACATAGATGCCCTCATTTCGATCCAATGGAATTGCCTTACAACGTCGTTCCACCTGGACTTGAATGGGTGGAATGTACTCCATTGGTCCACGAATCATCCACCGATCGCCCGGATAACGAATCTTTGGATGAAAGAGAGAACACAGCGAAAGGTCATATGACCAAGACAGACAGTGACTGAACGATAGATATGACCCATTTGCCGGAACTAAGGCAAAATATCAAAGGAGAGCATGAAGAACTTAAGAGTTACAAATAACGCCACTTAACGGTGAACAAGAATCGTGCTAAGCAATGCTTTCAATGTGAATTATTTTAAATAGACAAAGCCACCTAATTCAGAAGTCAATAACTGACCACAGAACGAAGCTGGTGATGTGAACGAATCAGAGCGCTCATCAACCCATTGATCTACATCCCCTACTATCAGTTTTTAATAAGTTTGCAGATTTAACTGAACACGGTGCTTTTTTTAAAATAAATCAAGGCTAGACTGAGCTGAGTGTCCCAGATTTTGGACGGCGATTATCTACGATAGAGAAAATTGGCACGTTCCTCACGGGGCATTATGTATACCGAAGATTTAGAATGTGTAGATTGTTAAAGAAAAGGGAAATATTGCATGTGTCCATAATGTATCCCAAGAAAAAGCCATTTCTCTTGCAAATCAGCTGCTTTTCTCCTCAAACAAACATTCGTACATTTTCATTTAAGTAGGGCACAGTAAATAGACGGTGAATGTTTGAATTAGCCCACTCGATTTTTTCACAGGCACCAGGCACTGTCTATGATCTTAGGTGTGGGTTTCCCTCTTTGGGAGACTGTTAGTTCCCCACGAGACTGTGAATAGACGTTTTATTTCATGGTTCACTTTGTCATCCCGCACACAAAGTTACGCCAAGAAACTTAAGGTTGGATAGTCACCGTATTTCTCTTCTGTCGATGTTAGGGTTCAGATTTAAAGAGACTGAATACCGATTGAAACAGGCCAGATTTCTTTTTTGTTACCAAGTAACCATAAGTTTTCCGTCAACGGTCAATACACTGTGGAACTGGGGCTCTCAAGGAACGAAGCAGATTCACGCTCAAAAGCCACAGATTGCCTTCATTAATATTTGAGGACCGAACCGGAATGTTGATTATATTCATCATTTCTTGTTCATCTTCCCCTCTCTCGCGGTCTGTTTTCCTCCGAAACACAATTATCCTCGGTCATAGATACTAATCTTCTCCAATCTCCAACATACAGCAATCTGGGTGACATTCAACACGTCTATTTCGTTTAAACGGAGTCCTTACTGCCCATCCCTGAAGTTCGGAAATAACTTCCTCAGCTCCTGGAATCCGATCTTTTTTCTTTGGTTTTGTTTCCCCTCCTCCTCTCTTTGCCTTCAAGGTTTTACACGTAACAACCCTAGCATCACGCCGTCCAAAAATATTCCTTTCGTTTTTCTTGACGGACGCTGTTTTATTTCTTCTCAACTCTTTTTATGATGGGAAAGCTCGCTGTCAGCAGGATCAATACCAGGCCTATGTTAGGGAAGCCTAAAGTGGTTCAACGCTCCGACGCTCGGGACTTAGGTTTCCGGTCCCCCATGAATGAACAGTAGGTCTTCCGGAATACGAGGTTTCCCCATCCTGCTGTTTGTCACATAGCACTGTGCAATAAAGACACATAAACAAGGCTAAAATACATCACAATGAGTACAGCAAGCAAATTTGGAAGGGAGTCTCGTTCACCTTACTGTCTGATCTTGATCATGTCCAACGTAAGTCTATCCATCTCGTCGGTGACCCGATATTGACCGCCGTCATACGCGGTCACTAGTGCAACGACGGCATGTTATTTTGCTATCGCGGTTTATGTGTGAGTAGAAACTGGCGCATGCGGCTTCAACTCCCGTTTTGTTCATTCGTTAAACCCACAGGTAATTCAGAAGTCATCTTCAACGAGCGGCTCTCCTCACGGAGTACCTTTCTGGTGGAAGTTCAACCATTTTCTGACAACTGCTCTACCGCTCTACGCCTTTACATATCCCCTCTTCATTGACTTTGGTGTCCTATATCACAGAACAAACCAACTGGTTGTGATATCTTACGTATATATTACTTAAGCAGAATTTCTTCGACTAGAATTCCTCAGAATTTGGCAAAATGTTAAAAAACGAAGGTAACAAACTTACAACTTCTTTTTTTACACTCTGGCCTTCAATACGGATTTTTCCGTCAGACTGTTTATCAACGAATCGTTCATTAGCGCTCAATATTAAACCTTCATCATGTTGGAGTAGGAAGGAATCTTGCACACCAGAGGGCAATTTTTCACCCGGACGGAGGAAAAACGAAGCCTCACCATGCACCAACTTCTTTCGGCCAAGTTGCGGTTTTCCAGTCTCATCTACCGGATTCTCGATCACACAATACTGATGAGCTGTAAGCACAGTGATATCCACTAGACCAACAACTTCTTGATGTACACCGCAAATATAGCTGTCCACGTCCAGGGATGTGACCAGCCATTCATCACCCCGACGGTGTTGTCGACCGAACTGATCCACATGGGATTCCAGTGCGCGCAGATGAAGTGCGACCTGACCAAAATGTATTTCGACAGAATGAAAATAACGCGCATACAGAGCCATAAAGGTGCACCCATACAGGACAGCCGGCAAAAAGAGAGAAAAAGTATACAAACTTGACTGTTGAAAAACACGTGATGATAAACAAAACACAAATGTTTGAAGTCAAGTAGGGTGGTTTTCTCTTTAGCGATGGAATGCAACAATTGGTTATTTCGGAGGGAAAAATGAGTGCCAGTACCAAAAATCTGTTGACATCACTGCATTGAGAGTCCACCATATTAACGTTTAGTTATATGCAACCGAGCCGTGTTCAGAAAAATAGTGAACGTCTTTGCGAAATCAGCTGTCCAAGAAAAAAAACTGGTATGTTCAATTGAAAGATCGCTATTCAGTCTACGTAGAATAGCTTGGTATACAAATTACTCATTTATTTGAATTTTAATTGAGTCGGTTGCATGAGTAACACAGATCGCGGTAGCCCAATGACGGTGACCGTAGGAGAGGTTTGAGCAGATGGTAATTCAGTTCTGGGTGTCTGCTTTTATCAATTTAGGACCCCACTGGCGTATCCAAGAGCCGCTTTCATTTATCACCACCTGGTTACTCCATCAGCAACCCTCTTTGGTGCAGTCTGTGTAATCAGGTCAAATTATACGTATATACAATTTCAGGTTGGCATTTTGTGTTGAACAAAAGACACTATTTTAATATTTAATCAGAAATTGATAAATCAACCGGTGAACCGTTGGAATTATTTCTAACTATTGCCCTATGACTTGTGAGCTGCTTGGAAAACTGAGAACTGAGCATTGTATATATTCTTAATTCGAACCAACCCCGACACCACAAAGACCAATAGAAGTCCTTCCGCCTAAAAAACTCCGATCGCGAAGGTCACGGGTTTGATTATGTGATTGTGTGGCAAGGTATGTTGCGGACAACTTTCCAAGGGCTCACGATCCGCCTGACCGGTACCCAATGGACCCACTGCCTTGCGGGTCCGGCATGGACTAGCCGATAAGAACGGTTAATAATCCCCAAGATAATCATGTTGTGGGGCAACTCAGCGGCATCATGCCCACGGACAGGTTTATTTCTTTGTCATAACGACTCTGATACCACATTTTAGTTGATAATTAATCTGGGACGAGACAAGTGCATTAATGAACAGATGGAAAATAACAATCGTGTTTTGAACCACTTTCAACAGAAAAAAATTTCAAGTCTTAAACTATTAGTTAGTTAGCTATTATTATTTTCACTTTTCCAGTTGATTTACGACGGAAATGTAAGCTTATTCATAACCTTAATGCCAGTCTACTTAATACAATACAAACAAAATGGGGCGCCTTGAACACTGCATATGCAGGAACATTAACCTCGAAATCGTGTACAACAAGGAGGATATTTTTGCGCACTGATGCAAACTGAACAGTCCGAAATCGTACAACATTAGAGAGACACCTCTAACTGAACCAAATTCTCTTGTGCGTTGAACTGCATTGAGCATTTACTCTTGATGAGTACCTCTACTAATCCCTTACGACGGGGGGGCGAATTGATGGGGAAAAAACAGGGGCAAAACGTCCCGAGTAAACAAACTGTGCTGAAACCCACTTTGTCTGTTAGTATGGACGCCTCACGCTGACCCTCCAATTTCTCGTACACCCCGAGAAGATATGCACCCGGTTTGGCCACTAACCACGTCTGGCCGCTAGTGCGTGGAATGCCGTCTCGATCGACAAAATTCTCCGTGGCTCGTATATGCAAGGCGGTGTTTGGCGAGATCATCATCACCGTCCTAGTGTACATCATTTCAACTTCTTTCCGCGGATAGTACGTAGCTACGATCAGAAAGCCGAGTGGGGTGTGTTGATGAGAAGATAAGAAAAAATGGTAGAGGGGGGATGCCAGGATAGATATGTGCGCACAACAAATAAGGCTAAAAGACAATGCGAGGGTTTCAAATGTAAGCACTTCATAGTTCCTTATATTGTCTGATTAGCTGAACACAGTTCCTGGTTCTTACAGTAGAATACATCTGGAAGATATAGCTGACACAGTATAGAACAATTTTGTTTTTGTCTAGCTGATTCAATATAGAATAGATCATTAGACTCTTTTTCGATTGATTTCAGAATTATGACGGGTTGATTCCGAGTCATCATACCATTTGTTGCTCTGAAAGAAAGTCTAATTTGTTTGTGATCAAGCACGTAATCTCGCAATCCGAGCATTATTCTGCAATGTAAAAGGTAACAGAATAGGTGTTAGCCCTAATTTGCCCGCGGCGCTCTTCTAAAACTGCGGATGAAGAATATGGGATGATTCAAGAAGATAATGAGTAGATGCATGAGCGCCACTGTTTGCGACACCCAGCCATATTGCTCAGTGTCTCTAACCATTGGTGACCATGATCTCGGG